GTTACCTACCGAAGTTAAAATATGAATGGTATTTGTTAGGATACTTAGCAGTTGAACCTACAGGTGATATTTTAACTTGACTCACTATTAAAGATCAAACTGAAATCAAACTGTGGGAAGCAATGTATTCAACACAAAATGTTACTTTATTTGCTTTTCTGGAAACTTGTTACTGCTGTAAGCCTTTTTTTCTTAGACATCTGTTGCTGAGAACAATTGTTCTGCAAAATATTAATAGCCGTGAAGTCCTTTCTGTGGAAAGTGAAGATGAACCACATAGAAAGTAAATAGGCAAATGGAAGCCACAGGCTGAATCATGATGTCCTGTAATTCTAAACTCATTCTAAACATAAGTCTGCAGCACCCTGGCTACGAGGGAACCTATATAAAGCAGTGTGTAGTGTTACTTTTTAAAGCTATATGTAATTTTCAGCATCTCCTTCTTTTATAAGGACCTTCAAGGATCCTCCGAATCCTTCAGGATTTCTAAGTGCAAATAGTTACACTTCCTGAAGTATTCACCTGCTTTCACCATTCTTCTTTCTCATTATTTTCTTCTTTCCCCATTGATTTAGACAACTCTGATCAATTACTTCAGAATAGATGACGCTTGACAAAAATCAAAATGTCGACATCTTTTATGAATGAAAATGAGAATATCATTAAGGTAGATTTCTATTGCTGTGCTCCCAATCAAATAACCCTTGTTGCCATTTATATACAGGGATTCAGCAGGTGGTCCCAGTACTGTGCTTTACTTTAAAATCTCCAAAAATGCAATTTTCTGTGTATGATAATAGTTTATCTGACTAGTTGCCCTTTGTGTTCCTTGGATAACTTATCAATTTATAGATCTCAGTGCCATCTTTGTAATTTGTATTTTTTTATGGTATCCTGTGAGCAGATCTTGAATTTTCTTTGGGGTCTTCCAATCAGCATTTATTTTAACTGATGATTGTATTTCAGTTTGGACAGACTACATATGATGTATTATGTTATAATATTGTTTTATTCTCCAGCACTCTGGATATACAGAATGTCTAATATTTACTCTATTTAATCTGCCTCCTGATTTGGTACTCACTAGAGCATGCTAATGGCATTGTTACTAACAAAAATATTTAGCTATCCATGACTGTTCTGTGAAACAGTTTATAATTCTATTTGTATTCAGTGGTTTTTAAAATAATAAAATCAGGATTTATTTTTTGTTAGCTTTATAAATCCTTCATTTTTGCCTGAACCAGTCTTCAGCTGTAAATAACTTTGGCTCTTTCTATTGATTCAAAAGCTTACATATACTTCTGCCTGTGTTCAGCTGTAGGGAGCAGGACCAGAAGGCTGATGCCAGTATTTCAGTGCTCATGCTATTTCTTAAAGATAAAAACACATTTGTTCAGAAGCATAGCAATCCTGAAGGAGAGCTGAGAATAAACCCTCTATATTTTCTCTGACTTTTCTAAAGGAAACAGGATTTATGATCATGCCCATCTATCTATCAGTTCTCTCTGTCATGCCATTACACTAAATAACCAAAGGACAAAATAAGTCTCAAAGAAATGGAGGTTTTACAGGACAACTGGATAGTGGAGAGAACCCACGTTAGGGGTTCCACACTAGTGGAGAGACTTCACTGAGCTCGAGAGTCCCCTGTCTTATTTTATCTGTCTGGTAATCAGCATGAATTAGGTCGTCAGTGCAGGGGTGGCCCTGAATCAGCTTCAGGACCTGCATCTCTGTCGTGAAATAGGGAAGGAGCAGAGGGGAGGTCAAAGGGAGGGTAGGCGGGGGGATATTGGGTCTGTGCTCCAGGACGTAGGTGTAGAGTGATAGAGAAGCAAACAGAGACACTGCAGAGCTCTCTGGGAATTCTGTGGCTGGCTGAGAAACATGAGAAGGTGGATGTGTGCAAGAAGATGCAGAAACCTGGCTTAATTATTTCTGCTGTCCATAATTAGGATTACCTGTCTTACGGTTTCTTGTGGAATTCTTCTCTCACATTATGTCTAGTTGCTGGCCTACTGCCCGATGGCCTATGGCCAGCATAGGAGATTGCACAGGGTTAATGGGAAACCTTGAACACATATGCACACATGCATGAATGTCACAAAACTGTAAAATCTTAGCTGTGAGACTGACTGCTTGTGTAATAGATTGACTGTCCTATGAAGATGACAGGACAGAATCACTGAAGAAAATTTAGAAAGGGAGGAATTAATCAGGGTCACTGAAAACTGAGTCTTTTGCGCTAGTGCAAATCAATAAAAGCAAAGTTGAAATTGCCAAGGTGCAAAGTAACTCAGAAAATGTGGACAGCAAAGGATAAGGAAAAAAGACAGAATTTAACATCAGGATGTCTCTATGAAGGTGAAACAGATGATGTGCTTTTGATCTAAAGTAACTTCCAAGTAAAACATTGTCATAGCAATAGTACATCACAATTCATTTTAATTAGTTTCTGTCTCTTTATGCAGGTCTTGCATATACAGATGAGCATAAAGAAAATAAAGTCATGAAATTGTTCATATATGAAAAAGGAGAAAAAATAGGTGTAATACGTGAGTTAAAATTGATTTGTAAAAAAAAATAATGAACAACTGAAAGGCCAAATTAAAAATAGCTTTAATTGTTGCTTAAAACACATAAGGCATATGTATAACTAAATACCATCTCATTTGCTGACTTGTGTTACTTGACTCAGGAGAAATTTCTGATTGTCACTGCAATGTCTTCCCCTGAGAAAAATTACTAGTTTTCTTCCCACTCTTTACATCTGCTGAAGCAGAAGGATAATCACTTTGGCTTTACACTGTTCTTGGTGAGCTATAAATTCTACCATTTGATGCAGCTGGTCTGTTTTTTCATGTGTGTTTTTTATGCCAAAGCATTTCCCTGATTTTCCTTAAAAAAAACAGTAGCTCTAGAACTATTATCGTAAAATACTTTCTGCACAAAAGGCCACAAGAAGCAGCAAATGCAAGTACAGAAGTTCATTGACTAGGTATTTCAGTACTTGTCATAAGGAAAATGTGTGTTTGTCATAAGAAAAAGTTGTATTTATGTGTCATGTTTTAGAAGTTTGAGGAAAAAAAAGCCCTTTGTTGCTGAATGACACGGGCCAAGTCTCAAACTCTGTGAAATTTGGCTTTATGTTGACTTTGAAACAACAATGCCAAAACACTCTGTAGACAGGAAAACACCATGAGCTATTGCTCGTTGGGAGACCTGCTCTAATCTGTGTGGCTGCCAGGATTATGCATCATTTCAAACATAATATCATGTGATACAGACCATGCATTTCAGCAACCCAGATTCATAAAGGACATGGTTTGGATTTGTATTTACCCTTTTATGTCTGTCTCCAATTAAGTCTTTGGCAGGTGTGACTGCTTGCTGCAATACTTCTTTTTGGTATAATTTATGCATATAGGAGGGTGACTAAAGATAATACATGTATCAATTTACTGTATTTCTTTTGAATACTTTCACAGAGTTTCCAACCTGTGAGCCATTAACTCAGTTCATATGCAAAAACGGAAGATGCATTAGCAGCAAGTGGCTTTGTGATTCAGGCAAGTACCAACTGTTTGAGATCTGACACTAATAGGGTAAATATTAGGTAAATATTGATTTGATATTTCTTTTTTTCTTTTGAGACTGATATTATTGGTTTGGCTTGTAATGGGCCAAACTAAAAAAGTTTTAAATTGCATACCTAATTTTTAAAGTTGAAAAATTGAGGCTGCACATGAGGAATGATGCATTGGAAATGGAAATGGTATGTTCTGTAGAATGAAGTACGAGGTAATGTTTGTTTACAAAAGAAATGATTATCTATGAAATTATTTTCTACTTTTAGAAAATAAAACTGTTCCTTTGAGAACACATTGTGTTTGTTGTTGTTTGTGGGCAAGTTCTGCTCAAACAGCATCCCTCGGTGCTGGAGGGGAAGAGAACTTCATAGTTTAGATGCTTCTTTTGTCTTAAAGAGTGCATATTTGAATGACAGCTATTCATATTACTGTTTCCCCAGGGTTTGTGTGTGGGAGGAATGCCATGCCAGTCCTAATAACACAGAGTTGCTTCTGCATCAACTATGGCATTCAATATTACTATAATTTTATGACAGTGACAGGAATTTATAGCTGTAAACAGAGATTCTCCAAACTATCACAATATGCTTGCTGACAACAAGGCAACCCTTTAGTGTTTATCTAACATATTCCTTGGCAATCGTAATCAAATTACGGGAATTGCCTTAAGATTGTTTTAATGACTACTACATTAAAGTAATGAAAAATTATATTCCACACTTATTTCTTTTTAACTTAATGCAAGTTTAATTTACGTAACTTACGCATCAAAGCATTTATACTACTGTTGCAAAAATACTCTGGCATCAGGTTTTCGTTTTGGGTTATATGAAGTTTGGACTAAAAAATAGCCGCTATATTTTCCCTGTATAGTCACAGATGACTGAAGAAGAGAAGAAAATCCACAGCCTTCTATTGTTTCCCCTCATCTGTTAGAGAATAAGGAGTTGGGCTACCCAAAAGGACAGAGAATCAAGTGCTATTGTTAAGGTTAAGAAATTATGTTACAAGTAATATTATTATAAGTTAGTGGAAATAACAATAAATTAATTGAAAAAATGCTCTTCCATTTACTGCACATTATTTTTCTTTAGCCTTTTCAACAATACCATGTTTGTCCTGAGATATTTTATTCAATCTTTTTGACTTTTAAACTTTTAAAACAATATTCATATAAATAATATTCACAGATGATGACTGTGGCGATGGGAGTGATGAATTAGGCTGCATTCACTCGTGCTCTGCCAATCAGTTCAGATGTCATAGTGGCAGATGTATCCCAGGTCACTGGGCGTGTGACGGTGACAACGACTGTGGAGACTACAGTGACGAAACCAAAACAAACTGCACTGAGGAAGGTTAGTTATTTTTCTGGTATTTTAGTATTTCATTATGAATGCATTCTTCAGTCAGTGGAAAAGAGAAAACTCTTTTAACGTCGGTAAAATTTGGAATGGAAAATATGTAAAGGTCAGTAAATGCCTTTTAAAATGTGCACTCCTTAGAGCATCCCTGGATCTTCCATCAGTAAATAAAGGAACCAGGTTCCAGTTTTTCTAGCAAAGTAGGGGCAAGAGCTAACTGAAAAGGACATTGTCGTGAAAATAGATAAGAATATCAAGTATACGATGAGTAATTTAAATTGCATAATTCTTGTTCTTCAGAACTTTGAAGGCTGATTCTGTAGCTGCGCCGAATTTATTTTGGTTGCTGTGGAGTTTAGAAAGGCTGCGGATTGTCTGTCAGTGCTGTGACATCATGAGCCTTGCAGGTGTAGGGGTTCAGAACTCTTATGGAACCTGGAGTAGAGGAGTCCTATTCTGATTTCTGCCAAACAGAAGCACTTTTTGACACCTTTCATGTTTTATGAAGTAGGAGATGGAGTATTGTTGGAAAAGCGGGAGAAGGAGAGGAGACAAATGTATCTTGAAGCTGGGAGGAAGGGCTTCCACAGCACCAGCAAAATTCCCTCAGCCTTGGTCTTCCTTACAACCCCACATTCATCTTGTCTTACAGCTGTGTAAGAATGTGGTATTTGCTTTGAGCCGGTGGTGAAGTGGGAGAGACAGGAGTGAGCAGGTTAAGAGGGAGCTTCTCTGGAGCTTGTGTTGAAATCATGAGTTAGGAAGGGTGAGTGAGTGCCACCTGTAGCTTTCACTTTGGTCAGAAAGGAGAAGGGGTGAGAAGCTGGAGCAGGTGAGAGTGTGTTACATGAATGGCCTAAGAACCCCCTAAATTCTGTTGACCTAAGGGTCCCTTGGGCCAGCATATAGGCTCCAGTTCCTACTCATCCTGTCTTTAACTTAGAATATGTGAGGCTAGAGAACTACATGTATACATCTATGCCACTGCAGATCTGACAGAGAGAAAACTCCCGAACAAGTTCCTTGATGTAATTCTTATTTTCTCTAAGAAACTCTATCTCCCGGAAGATGCAATGGGAAGGAATTTCAGTGCGGTCCTGATGGCAGCTGTGTTCCCGAGCTGTGGCGCTGTGATGGAGAGAAGGACTGTGAAGATGGTAGCGATGAAAAAGGCTGTAATGGAACTATACGGGTGTGCGATGAAAAAACAAAGTTCTCCTGCAAGAGTACAGGTACAGTATGCCTGTGCAGATATGTTCTGCTTATGTTTTTATTCTTTTGCATGTGTGTATGTATATATGATTTTAGTCATAAATTACTATTTTAATATATTATTTAGTTTTTTAATATTACTGAGGTGTTGCTAGTGGCTGTATTCTTATTAGAAAAGAATACTAATATACTTTGCCTAACCTGTTTGCTGACACATCACACAGAATCTATGACTTTTCTGCAATTTTCCATCTAGGACACTGAAAGTTAGCTGATTGAAATGACATGAAGCAATTAGTTAGAAGACTTGGTAGAATTCAAACTACGACAGAAGAAAAACACACTTTCCAAGAAAGCTTAAACTCATTTTTTTCCAAGTATACTTGATGGAAAAGATCTGAAGAGCCTATAATTTAACTAGTGTTTGCATGAGCATATTTTGCAGAATGTTTCCTTAAGAGAGAGCCCAGTTGAGGGACTCATTCTATGAGGTCATCATTGTATTGATCTTTTTGGAATTAGTTTTAAACTTTAATGAAATATTTTGGATAAACTATGGTTTTTAAAAAAATAAATTAGTTTCTAATAAAACCAGTAATGTCACTATGTTAGTTGCTATTAGCAGAGTTAAAAAAAAAAAAAGAAACACATTCTAGGCCAATGTAAAAGCTCTGCATTTTTTAATGTTTCGGTCTAGTTATGTTAATTCTGTCCAAAAGTGTTCGTAAATGTGTACAGATACACTAAGGTACTTCATTCAGATCTACCATATGAGCATGTAGAGAGTTAATTTTTTAGCACATGAACTATTTTAGCATGTTTTAGAAATATTTTAAAGCTTGCTGCTACTGAGCTCTTAATCATAATGTCTAAAGAAATAAATATGAAATACAGAATTGTGGATAAGAACACAATTAAAACACTCCTTTTTTATTCTTATAGTTAAAAGGCAAAGTTAGAAGTATTCTTAAAGTTAAAAGGGGTTACTAATGAAATAGGGAGCCTGACACAAGAAATAGTCTTTCATGATACTATCCTTTTTCTAGTGCCTCAGCGGCTCAAGTCTCAGGCTATACTTCCCTGTTGTGTACTTATATACCATGTACACAGTGATGCACAAGGTTAGCAATATCTCACTGGGTTGACATTATGAAGAATGAAGCGTGAAGATTTGGCTGTCAAATGTAAATGCGTAAACAACAAAATTTGCTTTCATCAAGCATCTTGGCAACTGCTAAAATCAAGGGATATATAGCTTTGACTTAAGTGAAAATGCAGTTATATTTGCTGATTGTGTGGAGCAGTTAGTTTTGGAAACAACACAGCTATTCTATCAGTAACTTTCTTCCTTTTTTGTCCTTCCCTCAGCTCTAGAATGAGCAAAACTTTTTCTGGAGGAGGCTTGTTGGCAATGTGTTGAAACAGAAACTGGCAAAATCAACTTTTTAGTTAGATTACCTTTGAGCTTAATTCCATATGAGTAATATGAAGTAAAAGGGTACTAATTATGAGAAATACTTTCTGTTGTGATTCTCTCAGATTTCAAAATGAATGTTATTTTCTGTATGGATTATCCTGAGGAAATAACTTCCAGCCTTCCACATCTTTGAAACTTGTTCAGTTTAAGAGAGGCTGGCAAACCCGCTGCTTCTGTGCTGCTTGGTGGTGGTATCTTAAGATGGAAATCTCTGATTTTCTGACACAAATTATGGTAGTTCTGCACAGGAACATGTGCATGGGAGAAGGTGAAAAAGCTAATGTGTTTTGGAGGAAAGACAGTTGAGTAGAACAGCAAAAGTGAAATGTCTCTGCCCATTTTTTGCCTGCTTTTTTATAGCTTCAAACAGTAACTGCAGGATCTTCTCTTACTGCATATGGTTTTGTTGTTTCTATTTAAATCCATCACAGTGCCACAGGTGTGAGTGTCCTGATGCATTTCTCAGCCTTTGGCCAAACATGCTTTTTTTACTGGGAGTAGAACTGGCTTCAAGAAATTGTAACCAGTTCTGTCGCTGTATGCTCCTAAGAATATCCAAAGTAGTAGTAGTTGCAGGTCATGCAGATGGTGTTCCAGCAATTTGCCTCTGATACAGTTCTATATTTTTTACTTATACGTTATTTGAATCTTTGCTGCAAGTTTAATTGGTTTCTCTTCATCTTTCTACCACTATAAAAATCTTTCATATGTTGAAAGAGTCCTGTCATACTTGTACTTTATCATTTTCACTGGTCTCACTTGAACTGCACAGTGCTAAACTGTGGTATCAAGTCAGCCCAAATAGTGCAGAGCACTCCTGCCAAAAGATCTTGGAATGGCATTTCTCTTCTTTGAAAGAAATTTACACTTTTGTTTTTTTGTTATATGATAAACAGTAAACTAGATCTTTCAGTAGCAAAGGGATATCAGGTGCAGTAAGTAAACTGATTGAGATCACTTGGCTGCTTCTGGCCATTTATTTCCTGCTTTTACTTTAGATTAGAGAGCCTTTGTTCAATTTACTATTTTAAATTCTGATTCTGTTCTCCCAAATGAATTCAGGTATGTATGTCAGCTCAATCTTATATACTCATGAGAACATTGGTAGAACTAATGTACAGATTCTGTGAGGCCTGAGAAGATTGTTAGGGAAGGAGATTATGGATTCTGATGAGATGAGAAGATTAACTAAGAACTCTGGTATGGGAAGCAGTAAGGAGTTCAACGGTGAATGGAAGGATATTGGTCAGAAGTTGGGGTCATATCAGAAATAATAGTGTTGTTGAAACAAAATAGTTTGTTAGCATAAAATGCAAGTGTTCTATAAAACAAGCAAGATTATTGATTACAGGGAATCAGTAAATACAGCTGTTTTATTTTGGTAACTGTATCAGATTAGAACACTTCATTTTAGTAGAATGGCATTGGGTCCATTTTATAGATTAGGAACTAACTATTTTACAGATTAGGAACTCTAACTGTAGATAGAGGCAACTAGAAATGTGTATCATTAAGGGACAGGAAAATAAAAATACTTCAGTGAATTTGAAATATTTTTTTGCAAGAGAATCATAAAATACTTCATTAAGTCCATCACTTTTGGCAAAGATTAATTCCTCGTAAATAAGTTCAACCTAAGAACATGTCATAAATATCGTGGTGGAAGGTGAATCTTTTATTATCAATGAATATTCATTAAGAGAAAGGTAGTGAAACAGATTTCTTCTGCAAACACCTGTATGTATAAAAGATTTAAAAGAAGAACAGGAGCTGGAAGGAACATCATTTTGCTCTGGAGTCACGCAAGTCTGATTGACATCAGTGTTTTCCATTAGCTTCCATTCTACTGTTGTATTCTGATAATATTTATTAAATCAATGTTCATTTCAAGATAACAATATGTGTAAGGGTGAGGTGCAAGCATATTATACATACAACATAATTTCCCTGTTTCTGTACATTTGTAACTTTTCAGTGTAACATATTTGAGATTTTGACCATTACACAAAATGATGAAAGATCCCCTTTCTAATCTACATTTCCTTCTAAGTTTTCCAGGTGATTTTGCACTGGTGAGATCATGTTTTGCTTTTTGCAACCATTATCACTGTAGGATGACCTGAAATTTTGATTTATACTTTTTCTTCATCAGCAATAGAAGTCTTCTGGCACTTGCCTTGTAGGATACTTCAAAACCACTCTTTATTCATTGTTCATGCTTTGCTGTCTTTTATCATTTTTCAGTCTATGAGGAACATGGCACTTTTCCCATTAAAAGAAGACTAAAGTAGTAATCCAGAAGCATTACAGTAATATTAATCTAACCAGCAAGTGTTCCTTGTAGATAAAATTGAAATCTGCTACTGTATTATGGTAGACAATGGAGTTACAGTTAGGGATAGTTGTTGCACAATCCTATAATACAGTAGGTACTTTGAAGTGTTTTTTTCCCATGAATCCCTGCCAGGGTGGGACAGAGAAAACAGCAGTGAATGTGATACTGGAGTGTATGTAAGAACCAACAGGTTTGAAATGTTTACCCTACTTGATTGTTTCACACACATGCTCACTTTCTCCCCAAGAAAGTGATACTCTCTTCTTCTTGACTTTCCAGCTGGAAGATTGCTGCTAGTTGGAGAAAGTTGAGCGGAAAATCATGTCAATTCATGCTACGTAGTTGTCTTGCAGTTTCTCATTTTGGACTTAGCCAGTCAGTATGTGGATAACCCCAGGCATTTTTCTTCATGGAATAACCCA